ATCCGCACGACGCACATTCAGCTGGAGTTGCCATCGAGACGTTTGACCCGAATGCGAAGAAGCACTCGGATGCAAAGAAGGAGTTGTACAAGCTCCGCGCGCAGGTGGAGGAGGAGCTGGAGATGCTGAAGGACAAGATGGCGCAGTCGTTGGAGATGTTTGGCCCCACCGAGGACGCGTTGAACCAGGCCGGCATCGAGTTTGTCCACCCCGCCGAGGAGGTGGAGGATGGCAACTTGACACGCCGCAGCAAGATGGTCGAGTACCGTGCCCACCTGGCAAAGCAGGAGGAGGTGAAGATTGCGGCGGAGCGCGAGGAGCTGAAGCGCTCCAAGACGCTGCAGAGCCGGCAGTACCGCGGCAAGACAGTGCAGCAGATTACGCAGTAATACGTGCCCGCCGGTGTCGCGGTCGTCGCTGTGTCGTTGCCCCCCTCCTCCCCTTGCTGTTTTTCTAAATTGATGTATGATCGTTATGTATGATTTGTTTGTGTTTCAGCCAGGAGTGCGGGGTGAAGAATGTTATTAATTGCCTTATTATTATTGTTATTGTTATTGTTTTTATTTTTGTTGTTGTCGTGGTTGCGTTTTGGATGTGAGGTTTGGATGTTTTAGTTATGTTTTTTTTTGTTTATTTGAATGCTGTGCTTTACTTATTAATTTTGTGTGTTTGTTTGTTTCCTTCGTGGTGGGTTTGTTTGTTTGCTGCTGGTGGCGCTGTTGCGTGTGACGTTTGTCGTGTGGTGCAGATGTTGCTTTTTGTTTTTGTTTTTGTTTGTTGCCTTCCCCCTCTTTTCACCGTAGCGAAGGAGTTTGAGGTTACGCGTGTCGTTTGTGCGGTGCGTGGCGCAGATCGTTAGAGCGTGAGAGCAAAATAGCGAGGTTTATCGCCAAGGTATAAGCGTCTGTGATTTGAGTGGCTTTGAGTTTTTTGTTTTGTTTGCGTGATTTTGTGTTGTCGTTGTGTTATTATTTTTTTTTTTTTTGAAAAAATGAAAATTGACGAGTCTGTGGGGCCTACCCTCAGCCTTTTTATTCCGTGCAACGGCAGTGCGGAGTCTTCTCAGACCTTCGCGGCGACAGCAACGCCCACGAACAACGGCTGTGGCGCACACGCCTTGGCGACGGGGCGGTTGATGGATCTCAGTGCCACGTTCACCTCGCAGTACTCCTACGGCACGTCGCGCTACCTGAAGGAGGTCCAGCGGCGGCGGGAGGATGTCCCCGCGCTGCGGGTGCTGCCCAAGACGCACCTGCTCGCACAACTGGTGCTGCTGGAGCAAACAGGGCGGGAGTTGTCGACGCAGCAGGAGAAGTTGGGCCGCCATCTGATTGCGCAGAAGCGCGAGGAGGAGCGTCTGAAGAGGGAGGAGCAGCGAGTGCAGCATAAGAACCGCGAACGGTTTGATGAGCTGAAGAAGAAGCAGGCGGCCGAACTAGCTGCCTTGAAGGAGAGCGTTAGCAGCTTCCAGAGGCAGATTGACGCGGAAGTGAAGGAAAAGTTGCGTGTTGTCTGCATGCTTCAGCCCCGCATGAGTGTGGCGGCCACCGTTCTCGCCGAGGTAAAGAATGAGGGGTCTCCCTGTTTGCTCCTTGCGGAGATGATGGAGGAGGAAAGGCGCCTGTCAAAGGCACTCAAGGTGGAGAGCCGGCACAGCAAGGGCTCCGCTGACAGTGGGGCCCTGCCGCAATGGATGCACATCTGCGTCGCCGGTTCCTTCAACGTGGCAGCCATTCTACAGGACGTCCCCTACCGTGCTACGGTGGAGGATGCAATCAGGGTCACCAATACCTCTCTGCGTAAGCTGGTTGTCGTGCGTCATCTCTATGACAAGCAAGTCGTGGCATGGGTGCATGTCCGCGCAGGGTCCGACCCCGCGGCACTGGCTGCGGAGTTGGCGCGGCTGCCCGCCCCGGTAGGGTTGCCAGCCAAAATGAACTGCGGCGTTGTGTGGCCCAAGGAGGACATTGCTGAGTTGACTCGCAAGACAAAGGCGGCCACCGACGTGGAGTTGCAGCAGCAGCTGCGTCCAGTCGTTGACGTGTCAGGAGCTTCTTTCAGCTGCGCCGGCCTCACGACGCATGAGTTTACGAAGAGGGACGTGGACGTCATTGGCTCACTGGCGTCTGCCTGAGCGTCGTGGACCACCGCCGAGGAGGGTGGAGGAGGCGTCCGAAGTTGGAGGAATCGGAGGGGGGTGCGGTGAATTATGAGATGTGGAGAATAAACATAATAATATTTGCCTCTATATCCATCTATCCATCTGCATATACGAACGGTTTGTGTGATGCCTGCAGTGCACAAACTTTACCAGCGGCGAACACGGTGGTGGGCAGCACGCGGTGCCTGTGATCAACGGAGGCCAACAAACACACGCATACACCTGCTGGTGATAAATTTATACGCAGGCCGCAGGATAACTGCAACCGTCCGGACAAGTCTTCAGACGTCATCGTCAGTGTTTTCGTGGCGTTGTTCTCTCTTCATTGACACCTTCCTTCCTTCCATGCAACTTTTTGGACCAAAATGCGTTTTTCTTATTATTTTGCTTAAAAAAAAACGACAACAACAAAAGAAAACGACGACAACAACAACAACAGAAAAAAATCTGCCTTGTGGCTCTCTACGAGGCGAGGATGTGTACATGTACATGTACGTATATGTGTATGCTTCTCTGCACTGATGGCGTTGCTGTGGCTGCACATTGTTATACGCTGATGCAGTGCAGGGTGGAGTCATGTGTGTGCGTGCGTGGGTGCGGATAAAATTTGACTCCACACACACAAAAAAAAAAAAAAGGAAGGAAGTTGTGCGCAGACGAATGAGCGGCGGGGTGGGACGTAGTACAGTTGGGGGCGGCGGGAATGCAGGGGAAAAAGAAAGAGATAAGTGAGGCGGCGGGAGAGGGGAAGAGTTGGCAGGCACAAAGAAGCGAGGGATTTTTTCCTCAGATTTGCGTTCCGCTCAGCGTCCACCTCTCGCAGCAGGCCCCGCTGCACCACCCCCCCGTCACCACTGCGGCGGAAATTGTCTGCCATGTGCAGCGGACTGCAGTGGCGGCGACGGCGTTATTATCTGCGGGCGTCAGGGACGCCAAACAAAAGGATGCGAAGAGACGGAGAGAGCAGAAGTCGTGGCATACATGCATGGAGGTTGAGAGGGAGAGGGAGGGGGAAAGTAGAGTAGAGAGCATCGAGAGAACTGAAAGGAGATACGAAACAAAAACAAAAACAAAACCAAAAGACAGAAAATAATGCTTTAAAGAAAAAAAAACGAACGAATACAAAAGAAGCAAATCAAACAAACGAAACCCTGATGAATCACCATGAACGCACGGAAGGAAGAAACAAACAAACAAAGTGAGAAGGCGAAGGGGGTGGTGATGATTCTGAACTGTGCCTGCATGCATGTGCTTGGCATATAAGCAGTGAGCGGCAGAGTAGGAGGAGGAGGAAACAAATAATAGAAGGAGTTACCGGAATGAAACTGGTGTGTGTGTATGTGTGTGTGTGTGTGGGTGGGGTGGGTGGATGTGTAAATATGGAGCGGCGATGGGTGACATGTGCACGCGGAAAGGGCAGTGGGGGTGGAGGGTGAAGACGTCTGGGGGAAATAACACGGGCGTGTGAACGGAAGGAAAAGGGACGTGGGCGGGGCTGTGATGCACGCGTACTACATGGAAGTGCACGTCCGCATTGTGAAACTTTGTCTCCTCCGTGGGGGGACTGACAGGAGGAAACAGGCGGTACGATGCAGCAGTGTGTGTGTATGGTGCACCTGCGGAAGGGCAGAAACGCACCGTCTCCGGTCATACATGATTGGTTTTTTTTTTTTTTGTTGTTTATTGTTTTATATATGTTTTTCTTGTGTCCTCCTCACTCCGCCTAAACCCACCATCGGCTGGTTCCGTTGCGTTCGTTTTTTTTTTTTTTTCCATTATTATTATTAGTACATATATATATATTGTTTTCATCGTTGCTTGCTGCATTTCCTCCTTTGCCCTTCTAGTTTGTTTGTTTGTTGTCCCTGGGGCCTACTTTGTTTTTGGTAGAAGCTTGAGTGTGAGATTACACCTCTATGAGTGTACGTACGCAGACGCACTAGATCGAGATATATCCATATCCATTATCTATCTATATAGATATATCTCCATATATCCACATGTTTACATCTATATGCTTGTATGTCTTCATGCATTGGAGGGGTGTGTATGGCTGCAGGCATGCGACGTGTCATCACGTCACTTTCTCTCCATCACTCTGTCTGTGTGCGACCCCCGACATTGGGCTTGCACTTTGTGTTGAGTGCACTTTACCGTCTCCCTGGTGGGTCTCTGTCTTCTTCTGCTTGTCCCTGCACTTTCTCTTTGGTTAAAGCGGAGGCCGCACATCACTGCACCCCTCCCCTCCTTCCACCCCCCCGGGCTTGCATCACCACGACACACGTGCTGGTGCGCTCACCGCGACCTCGGAAGGATCACAAGTAGTCTTGCAGGAAACCAAGTGTAAAGGAAGAAGTGAAGGCGTAGGGTGTAAAATGGACATGGACGCGCTGACGCGGCGCCAAGCCGATAAGATCGAGTACGTATTACAGGATCTTCTGCTAGACCTGGAGCTTGTGTCGCTCCTGCCGGTAGACATGACCCCCTGGACGCGAAAGGTGTGCCTTGAAACCGTTCATACCCAACTTTGCAGCGGCGCAGAGGAGGGCGATGAGGATGAGGAGGACGAAGATGTATATGCGGCGCAGCTCATTTACGGCGTCGCGAAACGCCACGGGGACCCAACTGACGTTGACGGTAACGAGGTGCTGCTGCAGATGGCGGAGTTTGCGGAGCTTGAGAAGGATATGCTGGAGGCGGCGACGGTGGTGGGTAGCGTGGAGGAGACGGGGCTCAACCGGCACCACATGCTGTTTCGCGCCGTCCTGGACACCCTGCGGGATAACGAGTATGTGCCAATGGTGCGAGAGATCCAGGAGCGGCGGGCCAATGCCTTCATCATGAAGGGGGATTCTGCGCTGGCGCCCCTGCTAGACCCCGGGGTGTCGGCTCTGCAGCGCGTCATGGAGGCGTTGGCAGCACTCATCGCGGTACGTAATAAGACGACCGTGAACGAGGATGTTCACAACTATAGAATTCTCCACGAGGCGGTGAATAAAGAAAAAACGGCCTCGGCGGATGTCAAGGCGTTGAAGCGGGAGTACCAGGAAACAAAGGAATCCCGCATGGCAGAGGTGGCAGCCCTCGACACTGAGATACAGCAGATAGAAGAGGAAATTGAATACACCCGCGGCGTGGTCGCCATGGAGCTGGCGGCCTTTCTGGAGGTGAATCAACAACTGCAGGAGGAACGCCAGGCGCATGATGCAAGTCACTTGGGGGAGGTGCGGCAGTTGGCCGCCAAACATGAAGAAGCGCTAAGGACATTGGTGGCAAAAAATCACGAGGAGTCTAGCATGCTACGGACCCAGCGGGCCAAGAAAGAGGCTGCCGTGAGTGCTGCAATCACGGAGTACGACTTGCAGATGTCAACGTTGCATGCTGCCACAGCGGCTCTCAATAAGGAGGCGGAGGAAGACACAGAGGCTATAGTTGCGCTTGAGGAGGAACTCAGGGTGCTACTCACGTCAAAGAACGAGTATGAGCTAGAGAAATTCATTGAGTCGATGCGGGACAAACACTACGAGGATATGCAGGAGGCATTGAATCAAAACACGCGAACCATCCAGGCCTGTTTTCGTGCCTACATGGCTCGTGTGAAGTTTCAGAAGGAGCAAAACACCTCAAAGAAAAAGAAGGGACGACCAAGGAGGTGAGGAAATGCTATTTGACTTTCTTTTTGTTTGGTCTGGAAAACGGGATGTAAAGGAGACTGCCTTGTCACAGCAGGCGTCGATGCAGCCGTGGTCTGAGCTTGGAAGGAAGCTAGAAGAGCTGGACACACACCAACGGACACATATATATATATATATATATATATATGCACGCATGCATATGATAGTTCCTGTACGACGACTGTGTGCCTAACCGCATATGTACAAATAAATGTAAACTGCTTCACTACAACGCCTGCCTCTATCGTTTTTATTTTTCTTGTTGTTGTGTCTGTGGGTTATTTTTAATTAGTTCCTTTGCTTTTTATTTATTTATTTATTATTATTATTTTTATTGATGACGTGTGTGTGTGTGTGTTGATTGGGGCTTAGTCGCTTAACGCTGTGAGAGGAAGAGACGTGTTGTTGTTGCCCCGTCTCTGGTTCGTGGGGGGTAGAAGGCGCACAGTGTGAAAAGGAAGAAGGAAAGACAGGAGAGCAACCAAACACAACGGAACCTCGGTAACAAGAACATATATACATTTTTATATATGAAAAAAGCGCCCGCAGCTGCGCCAACTTCCTCGAATAAAGGGGAAAAGGCCTTTGAGAGCGGCGAAAAGGTGAGTGCGGAGTTTTTTGCGATCACGTATGGTGCGCTGGTGCAGCAGATGGTGGCCGACCTGACGCAGGAGGAGGATGTGGAGACGATCAATCAGCAGTTGGACGCGATGGGGCGGCGGATTGGGTCGCGACTTGTTGAGGAGTACAGCGTACGCAGTGAGACGCCCGCCTGCCGCACCTTTGCACAGGCGGCGGACGGGGTTGCGTTGGTCGGGCTGCGCATGTTCCTTAACGTCACAGCGACCGTAGAGCCGGTGCGGGAGGCGGGCACGGATACCTTCGCCATTAAGTTTGCTGAAAATCCACTGGCGCTCTTCGTGGAGCTGCCGGAGGGCCCCCTGCGAGAGCGACTGTGGTACTCCAATGTCATCTGTGGCGTCATTGTTGGGGCGCTCGGGATGGTTGGGTTTTTAGCGGAGGCGACGTTTGTGCATGACACGCTGCGCGGGGATGCGACGAATGAGATTTTGCTCTGCTTCAAAGGCAGGGAGAAGGAGACGTTTCAGGTGGAGCGGTAGAGCAGCGTCGTACCTGCTGCAAAAGGTGCGGGCGGAGAGAGTGTGTATGGCGTGTGCCTTGATACTTCCTTTTTCTCTTTCCAATGTGCGCTGGTGTTGCTAATGTGGGAGGCGGCATTGCCGACTTGTCATTTCTTTTCTTTTCTCATTTTCTTTCTGTGCTTCTGCTGCTGCCGGGGACGCGCTGTGAGTTTCTGCGGCGAAGTGCCCACCGCACATCCACACGCCGTGGACGCTTGACCCGAAACCAACCAACTAGGACGTAGAAGGGAGAGCTTTCCCTGTCGACCGGCGCGCTGTCGTGCAGGTGGGGGCCGTAGTAGCGGTAGAAAGATGGAGTACCGGCAGAAGTCTGCACGGCTTCCAAAGTCAGCTGAAGAGAAGTTGCGGTGGCGACGCGTTATTATTATTCTTGAGCACTGTCCTCTCTCTGTTGTGCGCACGGATTACGGCTTTGAGCTGCTGTCCGAGAAGCACCGTCAGTACCACGCACGCAACAAGCAGGACCCCGCAGAGTGGCGACCCGACGTTGTCCATCAGACGCTGCTGCACCTGCTGGACTCTCCACTTAACCGCGCAGGTCTACTGCAGGTGTTTCTGCGCACAAAGAAGGGCGTTGTTATCGCCGTGGACCCACGCCTGCGGGTGCCCCGACATATCCGGCTCTTTGAGAAGATGATGGTGTCGTGCCTATACAAGATGAAGGTGCGGGCGGCGCATGGTCACCTTTCGCTGCTGCGTGTTGTAAGGAACCCTGTCACAGACCACATCCCGCCCAACTGCACCTTGTATCGTGTGGAGAAGGACGGTGACGAGGTTCCGGACCTCTACGCCTTCTGCGCCGCATGCGGTACGGCCGATGGTGGGGCCACGAAAACCCATGAAGGCGCGGCTCCTGCAGTGGCGGTGGGGGACGCCCCGTCCACACACTTTGCGCAGCGTCATAGCGAGGCTGCCGAGGCACGTCAGTTTCACCCGTTTGCGTTTATTGTTGGTGGCATGTCGAAGGGTGACGTTGACGCGCCGTACGCCCCGAAGGGAGAGGTGAAAAGCATCCGCATCAGCGACAGGGGCATGTCTGCAGCAGCCGTATGCAGCGCCATCACGCACGCCTTTGAGGAGGAGTGGCTTCGTGAGGACAATGAGACGGAGTAGCCTGCAGGTGTTGGTAACAGCTGCCGTCGCCGTGACTTCCCTTTTGACTGAAGTGAAGGGTGCGGGGTGGGGTGGGAGGGCGATAACAGTAAAGAGGGGGCGGGCGAGGGGGGGAAAAAAAATGAGTTAAACGGTGCATGTGTGCATTCATGTGTGGACGCAGCGGAAGGAGGGAGGGCTCCCTCTGAAACGAAGTAAAGATGTGGTGGAGGAGTTGATGTTATAACCACACAACGCAACACCCCGCACACCCATTGAGAAAAGTAACTGTCAAATGAAGTGCGCCTCAACAACAACAACAACGATGACGACTAAGGCGACAATGACAAAAAGAAAAAAAAAGAGGGAGGATATGGAGAAGAGTGTGGCTGCAGGCTCTTCCCCGCCCGGCTCATCCATTGCCTCATTTACTTTTTTCTTGTCTGTCTGCCTGCCTCTCTGGCCCATGGCTGCCAGCATCGTTTCTCACTTTTTCTTTTGTGACTGTGCATTCCTCGCCTGACAGAGGGAGGGGATTGAAGGGACTAACGTCTGCCATCTTGTAAAACGTAAACTAAGAAGGAAAAAGAAAAAAAAAGTTATAGGCAGAGAAACAAAAGCAGGAAAATAAGAAGAAGACGAAGAAGACAACGACAACAACGACAACGACGACAAAACACAAATACAAACAAACGCGAAAACGAAGAATAAAAGTTAGTTTTGGTTAATTTAAACACATCAGACGGATCGCAGGACGATACTGTCGGGGTGTTTGCTTCCTGGTGCGAGCGTGGAGGGGGTTACATGGGTAATTGCTACTCTAGTGAACAGGACCGAAAGGTCAATACCTCACCTCCGCAGTTCTTGCAAAAGGCAGAGAAGCCATTTTCCGCGGCGGTGGAGCTCTCATGTAAACCCGTAATAAGACTTTCAGAGTCGCCGTTGCACATCATTGCCATTAAAACCGTTGCCCCGGGAGCCACCTCTTCGCCCGCCCAGACGGAGTCCAACGGTATAACGACACTCAATGGTTGTGGGGAGGAGAATGCAGGGCAGACACCATCTTTGCCAGCGCAACACTCCATACTCACCTTCTGTACAGAATTAAGTGACCCGAATTTGGCAGGGGACGGGCCCGCCGCAAACTTAAATAAAGACTCCCGCAAGTACGCTTTTACTCCGGTTGTGTCTGTCACGCCATTTGCGGCGAGGGACTCACGTATACTGGCCGCCTCCATGTTTAGGGAACGCTACGGCGGGTGTTGTGGCAGTGCAGCGAAAGCTGAGAATGTAGACACCACCACAACAGACCCCATATTCACAGAACCGACGGCGACTCCAACCTCAGGTGCCATTTCTGCTGTGACGTTGAACGAGGATAAAAATAATCCTGAACCGGTGTCACCGCCGTCCAGGGATGAAGATAAGCTGGAGATGTCCGGCAAATGCAAGGCATCTTCCTCGGCCAGCGTTAAGCCGATATCTATGCAGGAGCTGAGCCTAACACAACCGTTTGAATCACTGGAAACACAGAAAATCGGCGTGGTGAAGTCCCCAGAGGTGACGACTCTCTTGGAAGCTTCTCCCACAAATAGTAAGAGCGAAAAGCGAGGGGTTTTCCGTTTTTTTCGCCATGACGCTAAATGCCGCAGCGGTACTCGTAGCCATGAGCCCATTTCTATGAAGAAGGAGGGAAAAGAGGCACATCGCAAGGAGGTAATAAAGAACAACTCCAGTGATACAATAAAAAAGGTGGAAACACCGAAGCTGTCGCGGGAGCAATTTATTAACTGCGGTTTGCAGCGTTTGCGGCGGCGTCTGGATGAACTTCAACTTTTAGAACACCGTGTCAAGAATGATGGAAACTGTCAGTTTCGCGCTGTGGCGCAGCAGTTGTTGGGTTCCGAGGAGCTGCACGAAATTGTTCGGGTGCACATCGTCACCTACATGAAGGGTGCGCGGGAACGCTTTGACTGCTACTTTGCAAGTAAGGAGGAAGCGGACCGGTACTACAATTCTATGCTAAAGAATGGAACATGGGGCGACGAACTCACCCTTCGCGCGGCAAGTGATAGTCTGCACGTAAACATTCATGTTTTGTCCTCAGAGGAGGAAAATTTTTACATTACATACCGCCCAGACGCAGACTCTCATGCACCACCGGTTTTTTTAGTTGATATCTCCACCATCCGGCAGCAACGGCATCGCCAGGGCACTGGCTGTTCTAGTGCTTTGACACAGGCGGCAACGATAATAGAAGAGGGAAACGACAGAAGTGGTGGAGGGGGCGGACCCACAAAAGACGTTGGAAGTCATTCAGGTGGCAGCAGCCCCACACCGAGGCTAACACCGCTCTTTACGGCACATGCTTCCGTTCCGGCAAAACATAACACAAAGGACTGTGAAAATCGGGATAACGACTGCGAGTTTATTGTGGATGCGTGTGCGCTGCAGCGTCACCTGCAGCATAAATTGGCCCAAACAACCCTTATAGCAGCCACAACGCCCAAACTGGACGTTTCTGCCAACAGCGGGAGCTCCTCCTTTGTAGCCTTGGAGAACCCGTCACAGACGGCAGCTGGGGAATTCAGAAATACCGGTGGAGGGGGTGGGTCCTGGGAAGTTAGCGTGGGTCCGCAAAGCTTTGAGAGCAGTTCCGTGGGCTGCAATGCGAAACCACCGCACTGGCGTACCGTCTCTCAGGAAATCGCTAGGTTTTGCGCTGTTGGAGCAGAAAGGGTGGAATACGTTGGTGAGAAATACATCACGGCGCTTGTGTCTTGCAACACCCTTGCAGAGACATCTGCAGGCATGCCACCACACATGGAAGCACCATTCCCCTCACACAATTTTTTTGGTACGCCTCAGCCAAACGCTTTGCCACAATCGAACTCCTCCACTACGCTGTTTTCTCCACGGCAGGACAGCGACGGTAGAATCGCGGACCCAGCCACATGCGATGTGGCGCGCTCAGCAGCTGACGCACCGACACCCTCCGCTGATTGTGATGGCAGTGGCGTCTCTGATACACGTCTTGCTCGCCCCGAAGTAGAGGATGATAAGGCTGTCTTTGTGTTTGAAGGACTTTCGGAGCCCATCGATGTGTTTCTTTCATACCTGTCTCCTGTGCATTACAACGCTTTGAGTCTAGCTAGTGATAAAATCTCCCCTTGTGCGGAGAATGCGATCTCGCGAAATGGCACTGCGAGTTTGCAGGCAGATAACGCATCTTCTTTTCCCACCGGGACGTCTCCGCCATTTCTAAAACTAGTGCGTTCAGAGAACATGATCTCTGGCGTTGCGTCCGTCGTGGAGACGGAGCTGCCGTGCAATGGGAAGTCTAAGGCGGAGGAAGAAAGACAAGAGGACTAAGGGCACCCAAAGTGGAAGCATTAGAACCAACACCACCAGTGTTTTTTTTTCTTTTCGTTTTCTTTTTCTCTCACTGAGAAGGCCACTCACTCACTCACTCACTCACTCACACGCTCACACATGCAGTTCCCGTTGCGAAGGACAAGCTTATTCTATTTACTCTTTCCACTGTTCAACTTTATTTATCTATTATTATTTTTTTCCTGCGTGCTTGGATGCAGCATCACGCAGGAAAGTAACTACATCTGTAGCTATGCGTCTGTGTGCGTGGGTGAATGTGTGTGCGCTTTTGTTTGTTTGTTTGTCTGTCTGTTTGTTTGTTTGTTGTCTTTCAGTGTTTAACAGTTGATGGGTTGATTGTTTTTTTTTTGTTTGGTTGAGTTGCACCCCCCCCCCCCTTCTTTTTTCTTTTTTTTTGTACGACCGTTGCAATTGACATCTTCACTGCGGATGCATGCACGCAGTAACTGTTTTTCCATCGTTAGCGGATATGGGCGAGTAGCGGCGGCTGCCCCCATTCTTTATCCGTGTGTATCTGCTGTTTGTGTTTGCTGGGGGGTGGGGGGTGGGGTGGGTGGGGTGTATATTGCTCTTGTACCAAGGCAATATACACAAATATCTTCATACATACATTGGTGTGTATATATATGTGTGTTTTTTTTCTTTTTTGTTCCCCCTTTTTTTTTGTTTTGTTTTGTGTGTGTGTGTGCGTGTGTGTTTGTGTTTCCTACGTGGGGACAGAAACAAGACGTTCATCGTTCTTTTTCTCCCACCCCCTACCACAAGAAAAAACAAAAAAAAACATGGATAATGCAGACGACACAGTGGAAATATTGTCTCTGAGTGCAAAAAAAAAAAAACAACGACTGAGGAGGGAGGAATGGGGACAGGCACGTGCTTGTGTGCGTACGTCGGAAGTGAACTACCGGTGTGGATGATCCGCATTAATGAAAAGATGTCTCTCCCACGCTTGCTCTTTCTTTTTCTTTCTTTCTGTATGTGTGCGGGAATGGGGCTGTGGGTCATCACGGCACGTTTTAAGCGGGGCAAACGCACACACGAGGAATAGAAAGAAACACAAATCACAAACAGAGGCGGCGGAGTAGAGGGGAGCAGCGATGGGTCAAAGTAAAACAAAGTTGAACATCATTACGTGTGGCCTTGACAACAGCGGCAAGACGTCGATCATTAATCGGCTCAAGCCGGCCTCCGTCCAGACTGAGCACATCACCGCCACGATAGGCTACAACGTAGATGTGCTTGAAAGGGGGGACGTGAGGTTCACCGTGTTTGACATGGGTGGGGCGAAAAAGTTCCGCGGCCTGTGGGAGAGCTACTATGAGAACATCAACGGCGTCATCTTTGTTCTGGACAGCAGCGACGAGCTCCGACTGTGTGTGGCTAAGGAGGAGATTGAGTTGATGCTGCAGCACCCGGACATTGCTAGGGAGTTACCCGGTGGGAACGGAGCGAAAATTCCATTTTTGTTTTATGCGAACAAGATGGATTTGCCAAATGCCAAGGCGGTGACGGATTTGGTGGACATCCTCGACCTTGCGACACTCATGGGGGATCGACCGTTTAATATTTTTGCCTCCAACGCATTGAAGGGGAAGGGCATTAGTGAGGGTATCAACTGGCTCCAGAACACATTGGTGCGGCAGAAACAGGCGCGCCGTGGGGCGAAGCGAGGGTATTGAGATGGACTTGGGGCTCCCATGCAGGAACCACCGACTCCCTTTCACTTACCCACAAACGCTCTTTGTAGCCGTGTTTTGCCCCTTGTCTGGGTGTTTTTCCCTCTATTGTGTAGATGACTCGTTGGAGAGACTAAGCTGTTTGCTAGGGATTAAGGATGGTGAAGAGCGGCGGCACATCGCGTTGACAGACACTCATTCTTTCTGTTTCTTGTGGCTGTTGTTCCATTTTTCTGCACCGCAATCCCCGCACGTGTATGTGGCAGAGGAACGATGCCCACACGCACGGGGCTGGGAGGGGAGGGAGGGGGGTGGGGAGGACGCGTCTCATATTTTAGTGTCATATATACGACTATATATATATATATATATATATATATAGTC